ATAAAAGGCTTAATACAAGCTACTGCTGCGGTTAATGGATGTGTGGCTGGCTGGGAGGTGACAAAAGAAATCAAACATTCCTTTCCCTCCAATTAACTTCACCTTTGTGTTCCACGGAGTGGGGGGTGTGGGGGGGGGTGGTTGTAAAGAGGAAGAAGACTGTTCACTCGCTGTCTGGACAAACAGCAAAGATTTGGAGCAAAGACTCACAACATGGCTCCAGCAGCTGTCTGGGAACTGAGTGATGGCCAGCCTCGGTCTCCGCCTTTCGTCCTCTAAGCACAGCAGCGCACCCTTATCCGCCGGGCATACACTTCATGACCCCGGGTGCGCCTGGAACCGCGGGCAGCAGTGAACCCTGTATACAGTATGTGTTCACTATGCGACCATGCTTATAGTAGAGCTGAATGTATAAATGAGTCCCTGTAAGAGATCAACAACAATAACTAATAATAAAGTAGAACAATACGTACCATAATCAAGGTTATGTGAATATTATCTCTCTCTCAAAGCCCCTTCCTGCCTGTCCTCGCCCTTCCTGTGCTGTGAGCTGACAGTGCCTGTGCGAGGAGAGGACCTGAGGTGGGTGACGGGCTTGGCGCGGTGGCGTTAGGCTGCTGCAGGCCTTCAAGAGTACGTCATACGTCAACACGTCAACACGTCATACGTCAGAAGGATCACCGAGCTGTGACCATGTCCTGTCTCCCACCAACAAAAGGCGCTTAATGCCTTTCCCATCTTAACGACGCACTGACAATGCACCATCGCCGTAACGCTTGCCGTGTGAGGTGCAAAACTAGCGCACGTTTCTTTTTCTTCACGGATAGAAGGTTCGTCCAGATCTTAGCAACCTCGGCATACGGTTGTCGTTTTCTTTCTCAATGAAGCAGAGAACTTTCACCTTTTCACTAAAAGGAAGCACGTTCCGGCTTCTCTTCGGCATGTCTGCATTGCCAGTATCGCTACTCTTGTGCTTTGGCCCAATAGTAAGTAAAGCCAGGCTTACCTGAACGCCAGTGCCCAGGTACCGCAGCCGGAGGGTCTGACAACCAAGATGGCTCCTCCCGACTAAGGGGCGGGAGCATGCGCAGTGCGGAGGGGCTGGCCAGGGACAGTCCCGGTCTTGAGCAAGACCTCGCGAGATTTCATCACAGCTCAGGATGGCTCCAAATTTAAAATGTATGAATTATTTTTAGACTTTTCCATTTAATAATTTTGGACCATGGTAAACTCCAGGTAACTGAAACAGCGGAAAGTGAAACCTTGGATAAGGGGGGGACCACTGTAAAGAATAGATAAAGCCCTTGAAAAATCAATATTTTAACCAGCCAGTGTGGCTCAGTGGTTGAGCGTGGACCTATGAACGGTTCCATTCCCGGTCAGGGCACATGCCCAGGTTGTGGGCTCGATCCCCAGTGGGAGGCATGTAGGAGGTGACAGATCAATGATTCTCTCTCATCGTTGATATTTCTCTCTCTCTCTCCCTCTCCCTTCCTCTCTGAAATAAGTAAAAAATATTTTTAAAAAATATCAACATTTTATTCACACATATTTTTTCCTAAAATATATATGTGGCCGAAACTGGTTTGGCTCAGTGGATAGAGCGTCGGCCTGCAAACTGAAAGGTCCCAGGTTCAATTCCGGTCAAGGGCATGTACCTGGGTTGCGGGCACATCCCCAGTAGGAGGTATGTAGGAGGCAGCTGATCAATGTTTCTCTCTCATCGATGTTTCTAACTCTCTATCTCTCTCCTTTCCTCTCTGTAAAAAATCAATTAAAAAAATTAAAATATATATGTGGCACCTTTTGCTAAAACTATTTTGGATACTGAAAATAAAAACTTGACAATTCCAGTACACAAATCTTCTAGCATTTTATATGTGAATATCATCATAAGTATGTTACAAGGCCATTTGATGTAAAATATACCTGCAAGGAAATTTTTGGTAAGGACAAATTGTGCCTGAACAAAATTAACAGGAAGATATTACTGTCAAGCTACCTGGCTGTTGGGGTCACCCCTCCAACAAGAGGTCCCAAGACGTGTGCCATTTGTGGTGGTAGGTGAGACATTTATAATGTGTAAGATGGATTCTATTGTGTGTCTGCTTAATGCTGGAGAACTGTCAACCCCATTTCAAAGGAGCCTGGGGTCTGACTCACACTGAGAGTTGAAAATTATAACCTTTCAGTAGCATATTAGTCTTCATTTCCCAATTTATTTGTAGCATTTTCAGACTGCAAGGCATTTTTATAGAGTACATATATTACTGTGGTTACATAAAAGTCACATTTCATTATACAGCAACGTGCATGATAGGTAGGCTGTCATTCTCCATTCCCCCAGAGAAAACAGATTGTGGAGTATGAGCTTACCAATATATTTTGAGATACCAATTGAAGTGAGATAAAGAGTAGCTGAGTGAGTATCAGAATACTAATACTAATCAGAATCAAGAGGCACAGTTGTATTCCTAAAATTTACGATGTGACCTTGAACATGCTAATTTTTTTAGTATCCCTCATTCTCTTTGATAAACTCATAATCATAGTCAAATCTTTCCTATCCCCTGGGGATGTTCTGATGCTGTAAGGCAGTGATTTTCAGCAAGCGTGCTGCAAGAATTTTTAAACATGCAATACCTGACTATTTAGTCAGGGCCACTCACCTCTTTTGATTATCAAATGAAAAATGACAACAGCCAACCCAATAATAGCCCTCCAGAGTGAATGAACCAAAACTATGCCTATTTTTGTGTAAGATTGGCAAAGATCATATTTTTTGGTGTGCTGCAGAATTTTAGTAATTAGTTTATATGTGCCATGAGATGAAAAAGGTTGGAAACCGCTGCTGTAGGGACTGAGACCAGAGCCAAGGAAGTCAGCAGAGATGTTCGAGGTCTCTGGTATTTCCTCCCCCCTTAACTTGCTCATCAGAATAATAAATTTCTTTTTGGTGCTCCTATGGCTCATAGTCCATGTGTTGTATTACAATATTTTCTTAAGGATCATGTGTGTTGCTTTTATAATGACTTTCATTAATTAGCGTGCTTTTTTTTTTTCTAATTTAGAGGAGAAAAAGTAGATCCTAACCACAATCCACTTATAAATTGGGATTGTGGGAGTAAAATAAATCCTGAAGTTAGCGGATGCAGAAATCCACTGATTCTCTGATACCTGTGAGTGATACTATGCCCAAATTTTCCCAAACTGCTGGCTTTGTCAACAGTGTGGTTGGTGCCCCACACCCAGTGATCCTTCAGTGTTTACCATTTCCGGCATGCCTGCTCAATATCCGCTACTCTTTGCCTGGGGGCTTTCTCTGACCACAGGAACCTACTGGGCTCCTCCTGGGCCGACCAGAAATGCCAGGGAATTAGTGCTTCCAGGCAGCTTTCAACCAACAACTGACAGAAATGGATGAATACTCCAACTTGGGCCTTGTTTCCAGACCAGAATCAGCTCTCAGATCACAGCCACTCCACTGAAGCTACTGAAAGCATTTAACCTGCGATACCAGAGCAAGTCCATATGGAATAGTTCCTCTAATCCCACCCCAAAAGGACCTAGAGCCATTTACCCATCTGTTTGCACCCAGAGGATAAGGGAATGACCAGATGCCTTGAGGACTATTTGGTAGAGGGTCTGCACAGATCACTGTATGCCCCCCTATTAGAGTGGAGGGAGTGAAGAGGAGACAAGGTGATAAACAGGAAACTGGCCCAAGTCAGTTTCTCGGTGGTCATTTTCTCAATTCCTACATGCATAATGAAGATGATATCCTTACCCCAGGTAAAACTCCCACCTTCGTTTAGGTCTGGAGAATAAGACTGTGGATGGGCCTATGGTGAGAGGAATGCTTCAACAAGAGAAAACAATAAGGATTCCACCAAAATCTTTCATTATGGGCAGGTAAAGAAAGGGGTTTCTACATTGCCAGAGATCATTGTCTGGTAATTATAGTAGGTAGGGTTGTCGCTATCTAAGTAGGTCTGGAGATCAGAGAACTCATTAGAGTCCCTCTTGATGCTTCCATGCCTCCCAGTAACTATAAATGAGCAAGTATACAACCAAAGCATCACTAAAACACGAACCGGGGACCCAGGCCCCTCAGACATGAAGGTGTAGGTTACCCTGCTGTGTAAGCAACCTCCACATGCGGAAGTGGTGGCTGAGGGTGAGAGGGACCTAGAATTGTGGAAGAAGAAGGCAATAATTATCAATGACGTCCTTGAAATCAATGGCAACATAGGGACTGTAGCTTGTCCAGTAACCCCTGTGACCAGCTACAAACTTGAAATAGTATGAGATAAAGTTAACATGGGCCACAAGTGGATGTGTGAGAGGCAAGAAACAGACTGTAGCAGAATCCACCCCTATGCCCTTGACACTTACCATGTTCTTGGTTATTTCCATTTCCCACTGCCAGCACCTTTAACTGCTTGCCTCAGGGTTCTCTCTGTCCTGGAGCTGATGGGAAGTGCCAGGTAATTAATTCACCCCCACTCTGGAGCATCCATCCACCAATGCCTAGGGGACTTGATAAACACCCAGATCCCTGACTCCTTCAGAGAGACCACATCCACACTGCCTCCCAGACTTTTTTTATTTTTTATTTTTTTTTGGGGGGGGGTGCCTTTCATTTGTCTACTCCTCTTGTATTTTCATTGACCATATTCCAAATAAATTAAGTCCTTGTCTCAGGTTTGTTTCTGAGGTGACACAAACTTGTTAGGGATGCATATTCTGTTAACAATTGCAGCCAAGAAAGTATTTACTGGACAGCTTCTCTTCTGTAAATAAGCGAAGATTTGCTCCTCTTCTATGCACAAACCTATTGTTTTATACCCCCTTTGAGGACCAAAAATAGATGGTACTTTTTCCTTTAGACATCCTTGTTCTCCTTAAAAACCTTGATTAGAAGGTGGGAGCAGCTATGGAAATTCTATACATGGGGTGAAAATAACATGAAAGTGAATGCATACAGAAAGGAGAGGACATGACTGTAACAAGTGATATTTATTCAGCACACCTGTGTACCAGATCCTCCGGAAAGTGCTAGGCATGCATTATTTCCTATTTTCCCAGCAGCGTTGTGATGTAGTCAGTACTGTTATCCCCACTTTACTGGTGAGAAAATGGAAGCATGCAGAGCTCATACAGCTTGGATTTGGATTTGGGCTTGGCTGCCTTGGCATTCCATGCCTGCCCTCTCCTCTATGCTATGGGGACTCACTGAAATAAAACAAAACAGACTTTGTACATCTCCTAAGATCATAGCTTAAGGCTATATAAGACTGTTGAAAGCTGAATAAGGTCAATGGAGCATATCAGTGTTAATTTCCTGGCTGTGATAGTATATTACAATTATGTAAGATGTTACCATTGGAATAAGCTGGGTGAAAGGTATATGGAATCTCTCTGTAATATTTCTTACAAGCACATGTGAATCTACATTTATATCAAAATATTTTTCAGTTGGTTTTAAATATGGGGGAATTGGACCATGAAATATATAGCAATTTTTATGTTTGCTTATATTGATTAAAATGTGGTTTTACTGCCGAAACCGGTTTGGCTCAGTGGATAGAGCGTTGGCCTGTGGACTGAAAGGTCCCAGGTTCGATTCCGGTTTCACAAAATGATGAATGGGAAGCTTATTTACATTTTTTATGCCAAGGTTGGTCACTTATTTCTTTTTAATAAATAGAACAATGAGATCCAGCAATAAATGAAAACATATTGGGTCTCCAACAAGAATTCTAAGTTTTTCATACCTTCCATGTCAACAAGGCATAGTGGAAATGATCCTGTCACGGTCATTAGGAGCCCGACCTTGTAACTCTAGTTTTGCCTCTTTCTAGCTTAGGCCATGTTCAACCTTTAGTAATCCTATGTAATAAAAGGCTAATATGCAAATTGACCAAATCGCAGAATGACCGGTCGTTATGATGAGCACTGACCATCAGGGGGCAGATGCTCAACTCAGGAGCTGCCCCTGGTGGTCAGTGCGTTCCCACAGGGAGAGTACCACTCAGCCAGAAGTCCTGAGCCGGGCTCACGGCTGGCAAGGGCAACTGCAGTGGCGGGAGCCTCCCCCACCTCCACGGCAGTGCTAAGGATCCCTCAGGGGATATCCCACTGCTGGCTTAGGCCGGCTCCCCAGCCTGCAGTTGGACATCCCCCAAGGGGTCCCAGACTGCGAGAGAGTGCAGGCCAGGCTGAGGGACTCCCTCCAGTGCACAAATGTTGTGCACTGGGCCTCTAGTTAATAATAATTCAACACAAATATAATTTTCTTTAAAACAACAGCATTTTGAATGTCCCTCCTTACTGAGTAGTCTTAAAGTATCTTATTTAATGTATAATAGGCAAGAACAATTTTTCTCAGATTTCTCTTCCTGAAATCATAGACCATGATCCAACCTTTTTTAATTTTTCAAACAAATGGATGGAGGACCTCAAATATATTTTAAAAAATTGAGACATCTGTTCAAATAGCCAAATGTTCCCCAGCCAGAACATCTCAAATCTCCTAGCAGTCTTTCTCCCTTACAAATACGGGTGATGTTCCAGTAGAGCAGACTTTCCCCAATAACTCACTCCCTCTTCAGCCAAAATAAAACTCACTTATCCCAAATGACTATGTCATTAGAGGAACATTTGCTAGCTGTGTGCATTGATCGAACTCTCCCTTTCAAGAGCATAGCCATGAGTAAAATAGTTGACACAGTCTCAGAGTTTTTCTCCGTCTTTGGTTTATATCTGGACAAAAAGGTTATGAGTTTTAAAAATGCCAAACTGTGACTTTATCTTGCAATTATGTCGCTGTGTTCCCATTCTAATACATATCTGACTGATACTATATTTTCTATCTTGACTGTTGAGTCACAGTATTGGCATGGGGTGGGTGGGGGGGTGGGGGCTACTATCCCAGTACATCTTGTCAATGACTTTAAATCAGGTAGGCTTTCAAGGAAAAAGAGATGACCATTCCAAGCAAATACAGGCAATGAAAGAAAATCTTTTTGGATTATTGTTCCAAGAGAAGGTTTTGATTAAAATAGTTTGCAGCAAATCTTTTTAAAGGTAAGAAAAGCTTTGAATTTAGGCAAATACCATTTGAAACTTGTAAGAGGTGGTAGATACAAAGCGATATTTGAAATAAATTCAAAGATGAAAACAGAACAAAGTGAGCTGATGCAGGACTATCTAAAGGCAACATTTTAAAGCTACTATCATGAGAGTACTAACCAGGTATATTGTAGGATGTCCCACCACCAGGATTTGTCTGATTTTTTTCTTATGATCTGACTAGGGCTGTAGGTTTCTGGGGGAGGAAGATCAGAGGTAAACTAACATTTTCATCACATTGTATCAAGGGTATATACTATTAGCATGCTATATAACTATGGATGTGGGGTTTTAATATATTTTTACCTTTATTGATTTTTAGAGACAGAGGAAGGGTGAGGCATAGAGAGAGAGAAAAACATCAATGAGAGAGAAACATCATCAATCAGCTGCTCCCTGAACGTCCCCCACTGGGGATCGAGCCAGAAATCCAGGCATGTGCCCTGACCAGAAATCGAAGCAGTGATCTCTTGGTTCATGGGTCAATACTCAACTGCTGAGCCACACCAACCGGACTAACTATTGATGTTGACCTTGATCAACAGGCTCAAGTAGTATTTGTCAGGTTCCTCCATTATACAGTACTCTTTTTCCTCTCTTCCTTTCCACGTTGTACTCCTAGAAAGGAAGTCACTGTATGCAGCCCACAGCTAAGGAGTAGGGTGTTAAGCTTCACCTCACTGAGGGTGGAGTGTCTACACAGATTATTTGGAACCCTTCTGCATAGGAAATTTGCCTCTTTTCCCCATTACTTAACTTATCCAACCGTTTACTCGTATCCATATGGGCTTGTGGATATTTGTCTTATAGTTTGGGCTGTACCAGAATGCAGTTTCACAGTGCTATACAATACAGTGTCCAGAGGAAACCAGGAACATGGGTTCAGGCCCTGCCTGTGCTGCTGGAACAATCAGTGCTGTTTATTACAACAATTTCTTTCCATGTCCAGCTCTATCCCTCCGAGGATAGTTCTGCTGTCATGGAAAATAGAAAGGATTAAAAGGTAAATGCTGAGCCCAGCCTTCCTCATTTCAGCCACACCTGATTTGTGACTTCTGCCTGCAATACTCATTTAAGAAATAGCAAAATGATTAATCCATGAAAGAGTGAGTCCCTAAGTCTCTTATGAGGGTTATCTGAGAATCAGAGAATGTGCTAAAGAAAGAACACTTTCCCCAGGATGCACTGTGGTTGAGACAGAGCCCTTATTTTGTGTAGAACTCTTTCATTTTCCCACATGTCACCATTGGGTTATTGACTTTCCCAGTAAAGAGGCAGAAGGCACACTTTGCTCCTGTAATTGAACTATGGTATTGAACTAAGACTCTCTTACCTATCATGTGGAAATCCATAGAAGCACATTTAGATGGTTAGTTCATTACCCAATAGACAAGGGTCTTTTGAACCCAGGGGAGGGCCTTCCTGAGAAACAAAGCTCTCCCCAATGAGGGGCAGGCCTGCAGGCAGGAACAGTGCTTACGCCACCGTGTTCCCCCCAGTACCCCAATAGGGTAGATGATAAATATATGACAAGTGAATTGATTCATCAGAAGAAAGAAAATCAGACCTGTATCCCTGTCCTCTAACTGGCTCAGGCCTTTGGTAATCACTTCCTGACTCTGGGTCCCAGTTTTTCAGGGGCAGGAGTGGGGAGAGGCTGTTCGTTCCAACGATTAAAAAGCAAAAGCTTTAAAATGTGCTCCAGGAGCCGTGCTGAGAAAATGCCTTTGCTGGGTGGAAGTGGCCAGATTGATTACAGTGGCGTGACAGATGCAGAAAATATTCAAGGCAGCCACTTCCAGCAGCTCAACAATTGCTCCTTAGATGAAAGGAAGAGTGAGAACAAACAATACAGCTATTCATCATAGATATTCTCCTAGATCGAGCCAGATTTCAGCAAAATTGACAATTTAACAATCATGCTTTTCTATTCTCTCCCCCTTTTGTGTGTTTGGTTTAAGAATTTTTAAAACAACCTTTGAAAAAATGAGCTATTATTACAGAAGCAGGACATATGCATTGGAAAAAAATAATAAAATACAAACAAGTAAAACTTTAAAAATAAGAACAC